CTTCCATCTTCTTTTGTTTTGAGTTTTTTTAGCTATCTTAGGGGCCACAAAGTTGAGCCTCTGCATGTCGTTCATTCAGGCAACACTCACTACAAACCTGGAGGTATTTATACATTATACCAGTGGAATTTGCCTCTTGGGAAAACAGTGCAGTTCTTGGCTTACAGGAGTTTATAATGGATGGAAGAGAAGCTGGAGACTTAAGAGAAGCTGGATGGATTCAACAAAGAAAAAAAAACAACAAACCACCAGGGAACTATATCAAACGCATTCCTAAAATCTTGGAAAGTCAACCCCTAAATCTCCCCATGATTCTGGGAAGCCCAGGAAACAGGAAGTTGTGTGAGGTTAGTGAGGAATTTCATGAGGTCAGGTGATGGGTAAAGCCAGGCCACACGCTGGCGCTGCGTGTTCCTATCTGCTGCCCCTGACAGACTCAGCCGACTCAGGCTGGGGATGCTGCAGATGGGAGTGGGGCAGCCTGAGCTCTGCAGGTGTCATGCCAACAAGGGCTTAAAGACAGACAAAAGGTGCAAAACCATGTGTCTGGAACATAAGCTCTGGGGGCTGGTTTTGGAATAGCCCAAAGACGCCTGAATCCAATAGCACATGTTCTATCATGAGAGAAGGGGATAGGATCTCCTAACAGGCATGGATAGGCTTCCAGATTGCCTCCGTCAGCATGGAAACTTGAGCCCAGTGCCGTGTGTTTTCAGCACTGTTAAAGTACTTAGCACTGACTCCAGCCCATAATGCAGGCCCAAGGTAGCACCTGCGCAGTGAACAGAGCATGTTCCTCAGGGGAGGAAGTGAGGAACTCTTAAAACAGAGGGGATATTTGCTTCCAATGTGTTTGTCATGGTTGCTGCTTCTCTCTTCTTAAGAGAAATCAAAAATAACCGACCCCTTAGTTCTTTAAGGGTTAGGGAATGACTGGTAGGGGAGGTTTTATTTTTCACACAATGGGGTGGAATAGAGCAGAAGTAGGAAGAAGTGACTCTGTTACAGGAGAAGAGTCAGCCATTCACAGGGGATGGAATTCGAACCAAATCTCAAGGCTAATCCTTCATTTCTCGGCCCTCCAATACCTTGAATCATAAAATGTATAAAATACAGAGCATCGGCGCCTGAGTGGCTTAGTCGTTGGATATCTGCCTTTCGGCTCAGGTCATGATCCCAGGGTCCTGGGATCGAGCCCCGCATCGGGCTCCCTGCTCGGCGGGGAGCCTGCTTCTCCCTCTCCCACTCCCCCTGCTTGTGTTCCCTCTCTTGCTGTTTCTCTCTCTGTCGAATAAATAAATAAAATCTTAAAAAGAAATAAATAAAATACAGAGCATCACTTGCATAAGCCACACAAAATCGGTCTCATTTCCCAAGGGAACACGCAACAGCTGTATCATTAGGAAAACTGGACAAAGCAAGCTGGAAGAATCCTCTCTGTGCCTCCACAGGAGGTGGGGAAAGAACAGGGGTGGCCTGATGGTCCAGCTCTCTGGTCAACAGACCCCCGGGATGAGGGATGAAGAGAAGACAGAAGGACACCAGAGCAGGCATCTAGTTGAGGGCAGCACATCTAATGAAGGTTGGCTGGGGAGGGGCTAGAAGGTTCAGGAGATGGTAAGCACTTACTAGAAGGCCCAGCCATAATTCCAAGCATGTGGCCTCCAGTCTTCTGGACCCAAGTTGGCAGTTGCCTGGAAGACTTGTGAATACATCATATGGGCCACCATCCCCAGGAGGCCTACAGAGGGAACAGGAAGGCGGTGCCCTTAGAGAGAGGCTGGATTTGCCAGCTACAGGGAGTATGAGTTTGGAGCAACCTCCTCATTTTGCATCAGGAACAGCCTATGGGGAGATGCTTCATTACTCATCTGCCCCCCACATTTCTGGGAACACTGATCTGTGACGGGGGCTTCTCCTTGAACTTTGCAAAAGGTTGCCCCACGCTTTAGGTGGCGAGGTATGGAAAAAGTTTCTGAGTCAATGCTGCACTTAGGGCCTTTTACTTCTTCCCACCCATGCCCTCAACACGAGCTTTATTCTTGATCTATCTTTATATCGACATCTCTTACTCCTACTTGATCCGACGGAGTCTTGAAAAGCCGTGTGTAAATGCAACTGAAAAGTAAGCCAAACTGTATTTCACATACTGAGAAAACTTGCAAATAAAAAGAACCTAGAGAGAGATCATTTTGCCAAGTACATAATGATCTAATAGAAAATTTCCTTCCAACTCCAAGACGCCTGCAACGTCTCCATTCTTGACCCTGCCTCTGGACAGACACACGTGCCCACCAGAGGCGCTCCAAGGTGGCGAGGCCCCCCACCCACTCCAGCCTGGGCGGCACGCACCCGCCAGGATGGAGGAAACGGCAGCGAAGGCGCTCAGCTTGAGCCCACAGCCCGGGTTCCCGGTGAACAGCAGGTCCATTAGTAGCAGGAGGAAGCTGACGAATTCAAGTCCGACGGACGAGAAGTGGGCTCCCAGGGATAACCATAGGATCTCTGTTAGAAACCAGACGAAGAAAATAAAATTCAAGTATAAAGAAAAAAAGAAAAAAGAAAAAAGAAACCAGAGGAAGAAGAGCCCTCACCCTGACATGTTCCAGGACTGAACCCACGGAGCCCGGCAGAAGGGAAAGCCTCCCAGAGTCAGAGAAGGGGAGAAGGGGACAGAGTTGGCACCAGCTGGGAGCTTTCCCTACTTTGGGTCCTTTGCTGTCGCCCCTGGGCTCGCTGCTAGCTGCTCGGTACCCGATAAGGAATCAAGTAAACTTGATTGACTGGAAATACCGTCAGGGCGATTCAAGAAGAAATCAGCTGTCACCAAATCTTGCAGGGGCATGACTTTGCTGTGGGTCATTTTTGTTCCCTTTTTCCTTACTGAATTTTGGAGCAATCACTTGTTTCTTTCTCCCTCCCTTTCCAGTTTCACTCCCTTCTATTAAAAAATATATATATATTATTTAAAAAATATGTACATACTGGAGGGAAAAAAAACACCTCTAAGCTTTTTTTTTTCTTCTTTTTTTCCCTCTAAGCTTTTCAACATGGTTACTTGGCAACGCGAGGAGGTTAGAGCTGTTGGTGGTTTTCTATTTGTGAACTTTATTTGTCTCCGCTGTCCCTTGTTTGCATTCCTGCATATGAATGAGAGGCAACTCTGGAGGGAATGTGGGTCACCCCAGGGGCTCAGAAGAAGGGAAAAGAAGATCACAGAACAGTGTAGAGAGCACTGTTGGGCCAGAGGGGTCCAAGTCAATGGCGGCTAAATTGGTGATCAAACCCACATACTTGCCACAAGCCCCAAGGGAAGGTGGGGGAGGAAAGCCTTCTCCATCAACCGCTTCCCTCCAAATCGGAGAGTGGGGTGACGTGGGCCTTGCAACGTGGCAAACTCCAGTAGTCCTTTCTCACCTCTCTGGGTTGGTGGTGTGAGTTCATTGAAAGTTCGGCACCTCTCCCCTGAAACACAGACAAGGTATGACTTCAGGGGCAGATGAAAACGTCCCCCCCCGCCCACCGTCCCACACCTGGCGCCACCCCCTCCCTTGGCTCGGACCAGTGCCTGCCCAGCATGCAGCAGGCAGGCGCTAGATGCCTCTCTCTGAAAGCAGGAAAGAAGGGCTCATGGATGGATAGATCACTCAGGATCCATTTCTCCGTCCCCAGTTCCTGACAGTGAAGAAGAGGACGTGAGCCTGAGAGGGCTTCCGCGGGGAAATGTTCCCACTTCTCAGGTCAGGGAGGGTTAACAAGCCTAATGTTAACCAGCACCTTTTGCCGCCACCGTACCACTGGTCTGAATGGCTCGCAATTGTTTCCGGGGCTGGGGTCGGAGCTGTGCTAAACGGCACGTTAATAACACACATAAACACACACACACACATTTATAATCCTCTTCCATCTCCTTTTTCCCTTGGCCCAAATCGGGAGAAATAGGTTAATTGTACTGGATTCTGGGCTTTAGGAAAACGTCACTACCAGGTGATGTCTGATGCTCTGAGCAGGGAGGAGGGCTGTCCCTAGGCCAGCTGGTCCTAAGCCGAGGAACGCAAGTTAAGGAATGCACAGTGACACAGGACCCCGCTTTGCCAGTACGTGCCGAGCTGCAGGAGACCTGGGAGGACAAGGGTGGCCTTCTTCCACCTAGTTACCCTCCTGCGGCTTCCGTTCCCCTACCTTGTAAATTGTAATGGTAATAGAGCAAGAAAACCCTGTTGGTGGGGTGGGGGAGGAAGGGGCTTCACAGGTGATCTACTCGGACCCTTTCATCTCACCAGGGAGAAAATCAAGGTCTGCAGAGAGGAAGCTGTGCATCTGAGGTCACAGCTGGGCAGAGCCAGGGCATTTTCTCTAAGAACCCTCTCTCCTCATTTGGTCTCCAAACAGCAATCCTAACTCGCTAGAGGAGGAGTTCTCATGATGTGACAAGTCGAAATGAGACCCTTTAAGGATGGTGCGATTTTAAACCCGCATGGCTGCTAGACAGGAGGTTTGGAAAAGCCAGAGGGACTTCTGGGTCTTATTAAAAGGGAGTCCTAGGGAGAAGGGACGGGATACAGAGGTGGGAGATGCTGAGCCTGGGGCTGAGGCCCGGTGGGGTGCAGGGAGTGCTGTATACTTGCCACTGGCTCTTTGCCTGTGTTAAGTTCCCTGGGGGAAAGAAAGCGGGCAGCTGGGCTGAGGAACCTACCTGGTTCTTCCACAGTTTCCTCACAGGATAGCCACATGCCACTCCAGAAGGAATGGAAGGAGAAGCTGTCATCCCCAGCCTCCCAGCTGTATTGCACCACCTCCTGGGATGATGTGTTGGTGCTGCTCCCATCCAAGGGCACCGGCACGTCCAAGCACTCGGTTGCCAGACCTTTTCCGCACACGGGCTTGGGCACCTTCTGTGTGCCCACAAACCAGCTGTTGCTGAGCAGGGATGTTGTGGAGAGGCTGAGTGATAGCATGTTGAGGAGGGCAGATAGGAATGTCCGTTGGCCAGAGGAGCCCTTCGGGAGTTCCATCTGTAACAGACCAATACACGCGGAGAGCGTGATTTCAGAACCTCCTTGGAGATCTGGATACCCTTCCCTGCGGCTCCCTGAGCTCAAGCCACGCTCCTCCATGGTGACGCACCCCCCCCCCCCACCGCCGCCGGCCCCGGGAGCTTTCTCCAAGGAGCCTCCTGTGTGGAGGCTTAGCTTCAGGAATGGCCTGGAGTAGGCACACCATGGTGATGGTGTTTATTTAAGCTGGACCTCATTCTACTCAAATGCTTATTGAGGATGATCTGAATAAGTACCCGATAATAGCCTCAGGCGGAATGTGATTAAGCCACTGAGCTAGTGTATATCAAGTTGAGTACAAGAATTGGGGCTACTCTAATGCGCTTACTGGTCATTATTTTTGGTTTTGTCTTCAGTGAAAGGTAGTAGCACTGATTTGCTGAGGTATTTGTTGTTGTAACAACGCAAGTTTTTTGGGTGTCCTCTTCTCTGTATCACAGACTCCTCCGAGAGGAGAGTAAAGGAGGATATGGCCTCTCAGTCAATATTAAACTGGATCACCCCAGGGCGGGGGAGCAGCAAGGATTAGGGCTTTCAGGATTAAAGAAGGCAGTGGACCTACTGGGATGTGGGGTTGTTGAAGCCCCTGGAGGGGAGACGAGGCTGTAGGTTCTGAGAGAGGTGGTGATCTGGGTCCAGCTTTCAGACACTACCACAGAGAGGGCAGAATCTCAAATGGGAGGTGGCTGTGTGGCGCCCATGTAGACGGGACACCAAATGTCGTGGTCACGGAGAGGGACCTGGAGGGGCATCTCCACTGCTTGATGCAGCTGTGGTGATGACTCACAGGGGGGACAGTGTGGCTCTGGCTGGAGCCCCTGACCTCCCCATCATTTTTAGCCTAAGAGAAGAGGAGAGCCAGCTGAAGAATGACCAATATTAGATGTTTCAACCTTGGTGAGTGGTGGCTTGGACCCCAACTGAGCTGTAGAAAAATAAAGAAATCTGCCAGGTCTTGCACTTTGTGTTACGGAGCAGTTTATACTGTTATATTAATACGTACTGAAGGGAAAAGAAACCCATATGTAGTTGCTGACAGACGCTTCTTAAAGTAAACCATCTTGAGCTTTCCAGGGGATCTCTCATATCAGAATTAATCAGACCTAAATCTGCTTAGCTTAAGAAACGTAAATAAAACCATAGCTAAATGGGACAGGCCCATAAATCTGCTTAACATTTTCTACATCTAACAGGGAACTTTATCTTAGAAATATAGCAGTTTGTTCTCCAGAATTTCCAGGGACTAAAACAGTACATACCACAGACAAAGTGCAGATTATTTATGGCCATAAGAAATATACAAGGTTCATATGCATATAAAAATCAATATATAGGACATATGATAAAACAACTTCTGGAAAGCAATCTGCTAATACGATTTTTTAAAAAGCACTCAACAAATTAAATCCACCAAAATTGTCAGTCTATGCAGGACTCTGGGTGACCTTGGTAAAGACTGAAAACCACAGCTTCTGGAGTGAAGAAAGAGCTTCTATTACCCGGTATGGAAGTCACACACTGCCCCTGTCCGCCCGAAAGAATGTTTCCATCTTGCTTTTAGTTGTGAAAATCCTATTGGTTTTAGCCATTGTTCCATTACTATAAGTTATTCTTTCTAATTATTTTCATATCCATTGCTTGAACAGGAAATGGACTTCCAGGTAAAACGTCTTCATTAATCATTCTGTATAAAGATTGAACTAATGATTTAGGCAATTCTACATTTCAACAACTTCATTTTCAATCTAATACAGGTTGGAAATTTGTCTACTATCACAGATTTTCTACTCTACCCTCAATTCGTTTCAAGTTATGCATATTTATAAGTTATTCTACAGATTATTCACAGATAAGAATAAGGAACCCCGCACCAAGGTGATAACCAATTTAAAGAAGAAGTGATTTGAGAAACAAAGGATGAAAAAGAGCTTGGAATGAAGCTCAAAGAGGCTGCTTCCAGAAGGAGTGTCCAACCAAGGGCAGACACAAGGAGCCTCATTCAAGAATTATCTTGACAATTGAATGGGAATTCTCAAGAGCCTTTTCAAGAATCATCTTCAACACTTACAGTTCTGTGCCCTTCATCATGTGTTTTATTTCTCCCTAAACATGCCTTTTCTCTCCAGGATCCAGATAGCCTGTTGAATCGCAAGACCAAGTCTAATTTTGCAATGATCTCTTTAAGGAGATCCTGGAGAAGTAGCAGCCATCTGAAAAGTTGTATCTTTGCCTATGCTGACAAGCCCTCTACCAAGGTGACTCTTTACTCTCTAGAAAAGTGACAGAGAGTGGCTTCCCAGACACTCCAAGCTCAGAACGATAGGAAATGCATAGGTGCCAAAATGTCACTAATTCTTCCATCAACATAGGTTAACAGACAAACACAGAGTTAACATAGACAACAAATTGATGAGACAGGCCCAGCTCTTAATCAGGTGCAAAATAGCTATGCAATGTATGTTCTGAGCAGTCAGAGAGGGAAGCTGGTTACCTTGGCCATGGTCAGCGTCTTGCAGCTCGTCAGGAAGGACCATAGGATGACATCTGTGCCCCAAATCCCCTTGGTTTAATGTTGACAGAGTGAAACTGCCTTCCCACCCTCCCGCCTCCCTTCCTGTCCCTCCTCTTCTATCTCCTATTTTTTTGGAGTGCCTCATGATTAAATGCTGCCTTGCAGGGAACTTGGGCATTTAATAATTGACAATGCAATCATGGCCCAGCTGTTCTGGAAGATTACACAGGAGAGCTTGCCAATGGGTATCAGGGATTAAACACAAAGAAGCAAGGACCTGCATTCACAGGGGGAAGTTTCTCTAAAAAGTTAAATGAAGATTCAGTTTTCACCTAACTGCCATTCCCTAGGAAGCTGGTGTGAATGGCTTGGGCTTGATTTTATGGCAGATACAGAAAATATTACAGGGTTACCATTACTACAAGAGTTCCCATTCCTTTGTGTAGGGGTTTCCATCCCCCCCTTTTTTTTAAGATTTTTTAATTTATTCGTTTGAGAGAGTGAGCGAGAGAGGACAAGCCAGGGGGAGGAGCAGGGAGCCTGATGTGGGGCTCGATCCCAGGACCCCGGGATCATGACCTGAGCCGAAGGCAGACGCTTAACGACTGAGCCACCCAGGCGCCCCAGCATCGTAAGGATTATTAACAACGTCCCTCCAACGGAATACTGAGAGGGTCCTCCGTACCTTTGCAGATGTTCTTCCTTATACCTGGAATGTCTTCAGTCTCTCTTTATCTGGTGATCTGCCTCTCATCAACACTAGTGTAAAAGTCACTCATCCTTTGAAAATGTTTCTTTTCTCCCAGAGAACAATTCTCTCCTCTCTGTCCTTCAATACTGGACCCCTCTCGTAATACTTTCTATATTTCATGATAGTTGTCTGGACTGTAAGTCCTCAGAGGCCCCTCCTTTATTGGAGCAGCCGTTCTCAGTTCCGCGACCGAGCATCAAAACAGTCTTGGAAACTTTGGAAAATATTCAGATTCCTGGGCCCCGTCCTGAGATTCCACCGTAGGGGTGAGGCCCGGGAATCTGTAATTTTAGAAAGCTCTTCGTAGAGAGCCAGGGATGGACTTTTGGTTTCCGGTTCCGCATGTAAAGAGCTTGGAAGTTGCCACTTCACCTTAACAAGTAAGAAGCCGAACAAACTGGAAAATATGGAGCCAGAGAATTAATCAAGTATGACCTGTTTGACTCACGTGGGGCTTACGTTGAATGAAACCCTCATATTCTGCCCCGGCCCTCCCCCACCTGGAATATTCCAGATTTGCCACCAACCAAGTCGTGGTTTTCCCATTCTGTATTTGTGCATTTAGTTGGGGGAATGAAAGGCGGGCTCCCCTCGGAGGGAATTAGTCCACGTTCTAGCCGGAGGAGTCTCTCCGGCTCTTCCTACTTTTCTAGGACTGACGTGTCCGCACATTTGACACACATATGCTTATGCCCAGGCGTGATTCCCGTATCACCCGAACGACCCTTTATTCACCCGGACAGAGCTGGGAAGCTGGAATTTGGTGGTCACGTTTCACGTTGGAATTGGCTGTCGGTTTCCTGGCTACAGCTTTTGTCCCGACGCTGGGTGGCGCTATCGCCTTACATTTTTTTCCCCCCTCTTCGGGCGCATGCTTCCCCCACCCGTCCGCAAATGTGGGTGCAGGAGGTGGCTCCTCCCCGTGGGATGGCTCTTTTTTCTTCCTCCGGCCTCCTCCCCACTCACACATCTATAGAACGCCTTGTGTCAGCCCTACGGAATTCAGGGCTCGGAATGAACTCTGGGAGCATCCAGCCGCTCCCTCGAGGACATCTTGTAGGATTATTTCCTGTAGCACATTTTTCGTGACCGGTTCCAGTTTTCAGTGACTCATAGATCCTTAAATACTTCCCCTGGGAAATACAACTCCACGGTATCAGAAAATAGAGTCAGCCAATGCTTCCTGAGGGGTTCTGTGCACATTTTTCTTTATTGAATCGTATCCTCATTCCCTTTCCACCCCACAACAGTGAACAATTCTTTTCCCTTCTCTGTGCTTACACCCCTCAAATACTTGCAGACACTTCTCATATCCCGCTTGAGTCACCGTTTGGCACAGTCTGATGTCTTTGGTTTTTATTGCCTCTGCTCATAAACCGCACCCCCTGTGCCTTAATAGGCTGAAATTTGCCTTCTCCGGGGAAAAGGGGATGGGAGCGGCAGAGTCTTGAGGTTATGTGAGGAGGCCTGGAGGTAGATTGAAAGTGAAGCAGCTTTGGGGTCTCTCACTGACTCGGACCCCTTCCAAGACCCTTACATACTCATCACTTTGTATTAGTTTTCTTTTCCTTTTCTTTCTTTTTTTTTTTTAAAGATTTTTTCATTTATTTGACAGAGAGAGACACAGTGAGAGAGGGAACACAAGCAGGGGGAGCGGCAGACAGAGGGAGAAGCAGGCTCCCTGCCGAGCAGGGAGCCCGATGTGGGGCTCGATCCCACGACCCTGGGACCATGACCTGAGCTGAAGGCAGACGCTTAACGACTGAGCCACCCAGGCGCCCTGTATTAGTTTTCTTTTTTTTTTTTTTAAAGATTTTATTTATTTATTTGAGAGAGAGAATGAGAGACAGAGAACACGAGAGGGAAGAGGGTCAGAGGGAGAAGCAGACTCCCTGCCGAGCAGGGAGCCCGATGCGGGACTCGATCCCAGGACTCCAGGATCATGACCTGAGCCGAAGGCAGTCGCTTAACCAACTGAGCCACCCAGGCGCCCCCCTGTATTAGTTTTCTTAAAGAGAGCCTCCGAAGTTGTATTATTTGAGGCCTCCCCAAAGCCTGAATCTATCCCTTCAGAAGCCGTGCGTTTTGCTTGGCTGGGCTGGCTGGCTGGCTGGCTATTAGCCGTGATCCATCTTGAGGACACCCCCTGTCCCCATGGACCCTATGCCACAACGTCTAATTTCTTTTTTTGACGAAACATGAGTTTCTCTGCCTGGCATCCCACTCACTTCCTCTTGTTATAATTTAGGCATGTTTATATTTTTTCCTTCTTCTCTTTCCTCCCTTAGAACAGAAAAAGTAATTGCTAGTCAATGCAACATGAATATAATTAGGTTGGGCTCAGAAGCTCATGACTCAGGCCAGACACAAAGATTCCGTACCTCAAAACAGTATTTAACTTTGGTATGTGGGACTGTTACCATGTCAGGATGATTCCCCGCCCCCTGGACATATATGTGACTCAGCGTTTCTGACATCACAAATCCAAGGCCTGGGACTAACCTGTGCTTGCTAGGGTCCTCAGTGACTATACCCTGCACTGTACCAAACCATATTTACTAAGTATACACAAAGAGAAACAGCGGTCTTGGGACACCCACACAAAGTCTGTAAACAGGAATCCAATTTATTACTTTGTGAATACACGGTAGATTAGATGTGATTAAAACAATGGGTTAGAATGCCGAGCCAGAGCAGATTGTGCGGCATAGCACTTGCCTCATGGCAAAGCCTGGGGCGAAGGGATTTGGGGTTTGTTAGTTTGTTTTTTTCCCCATTATCAATAGAGGCATCTTCTCCTAAAATAGGTTCATTTGCAGTTCCTCCCCACCCAGCAGTAGTATCTCTGTCCTTCACCCCATGGGTCAGATTTCTGACCCATGCCTCATAACTAATTCCTTTCTGTTACTCAGCACTCAAAAAGCTGGAGTGGGACGTGAATGTTTCTGCTGTCACTGGCTCTGATCTACAGGCCCCTGTTCTTTGTTCCTGCATGTTCCACTGTGTGCCTTTCTCATGCAGCCCAGAACACGCAGGCTTGACTTCAAGTTGCTAGCTATAGGAGCAGCTGTGTTTTGTTCATGGTTGATCCGCAGAGCCTAGCACTTTCTAACATGCAGAAATGAGTGAATGAAGGTTGTAATGGAAACCAGGCTCAGAATACAATTAAGAAGCCTATGAGTGAAGAGAAGATATGAATAGAGAAAAGTGTCCAGTCTTCTATTGTTAAAGGATGCACGGATTCTCCTGATTCATACACATAAGAGCAGCAAGAAGTACAAGGTAGAAGGTCCGCAGATCCACAGACACACCCGTGTGCCTTTCTACACAGATGCACATCGAACAGATCCTCTGCCAATACATTTCCTCCCACCTGTGGAAACATTCCTGTTTTTTTGATGAGCGAAACCCAGAAAACAGCAATGATCTCATGAACGAGTATTATCTTTAGTTCACAGAGATCAGGGTACAAACAGATTGCTTAAAAGCCAGTGACAGATTGGAACTGCCATGTTCCTTTCCCAAGCTCCAGGATTCCCTACTGATTAGAGCCCTTTGGATGACGTATCTCGAACCATCTGAGATTTTCCAGCTCCATAATTTTTGCTTCAGTTCCTCATGTTTGACTCATTCACTGATGAAGATAAGGAAGGTCTTCACACATTTTGATCTTCCTTCCAGTCCAGAGGGGTACAGTAATGCCACAAAAATGCCCATGCTGAGTGTCCAAAATATTAACACCAGTATAGGACACTCAGCTCTGGGATTTCTGGGCTTTCAGGTTAACCTCCACCGCAACAGTGTTTCATGTCCACAGTGCCCCCAAACAGGGGCGTGTAGAATAAGAACGACTCCTTTCTAACATGGGTCGGGAGTTCTGGGAACACTTCTACTTCTGTTCCGCGGGAAGGACTGAAGAAAAGCACTTTGGGGCCTCTCCTCTCTGTCGCCTTTCCCTTTCCGCTGTTAGTGGAATTGTTAGAGGGCTTTTGCTAATGCAGGCATTTCCAGGAGAGGAAGCCGCCTTTCTTCCCTGCCCCAAGCAGCTGGAGTGAATCAGAGGGGCAGCCACATCTGCACATCCTGTGGGGCAATCGCTCACGCGCGGGTGACCGAGCCCTCGGGGCCTGCTGGGGCTGGGGGATCTTGGGGACCGCGCGGGGCGGGGGGGCCTAACGGGGGCTCTCGCCTCTCCAGGGGTGCTCAGGGCGCCGAGCTGGGCTGCCCCATTTCCATTCCGCGTGCGCCCCCCCCACCCCGTTCCTTCTTTTCCTGCTCTCTCCTCCTCCCCCTCCCCGACTGTCACGGTGCCCGAGACCAGCCGAGTCCCCGCCGGCTCCGCTCGGCCCTCTCCCTCCGTGAGTAACACGCCCGCCCAGGGTTTACTACGGCGCCCCGGTCGCCTAGCAGCGGGCGCGCGTTGCCACGGCGACGGG